AATTAATTGTTTGCTTTCCCAAGTCGCGTGTCAGCAACGGCACGCGGTTTGTCTGCTTCGGATGTGACATTATTTGCCACGCGTCCATCCCTTATTGGCCGTTACGTCGGTATTCCAGCACGTTCTGACATTACTTGTGTAAGAAGAGGTCATGATGAATAACCCATACTGGCATAGGCTGATGTCCAGTATGTCAGTAGCTTTATCCGGGAGTAGAGGAGGCGTCCAGGATGGAGTGACCCTCGGCGCCGAGGAAAGGCTCACCCCGGGACCAAGGGGTGGTGTGTCCCCGAGGTACACGTCTGACCGAGGACACGTGTTTGTTTGTATAATATACCGAATGTGTGATCCTACATGAGAGGTACCTCGGGGTAAAGGGCGCTCTTCGCCGATGGTGCTTACATCCGGGCACATTGTTCCAAAATATCCCGAGGACACGTGTCATCATCTTAGGGCTTTTCAGAAGAGTCCCATCAAGTTTAATATAATTTTTTGGTTTTATTGGTGAAGACTTTTCTTCTATTTGGTTTTTGGATCTATTTTTCCCCCTTTTGAAATACATGTGATTTCCGTCTGGTAATTCTGACATTTCTTGTGAATATGGACTTTTTTTTAGTGTGCATCACAATTGCATATCATTAATGTGAAGCACAACCACGTTATTAGTAGGAAGCCAGGATTCTATGTCAGGGAGTCAAAGTATAAATAAAAAAATTACTGATATAAACAAAATTCTTAAAGTTCAAGCATAAGAAATATATGGAGATTAAAGAGTAAATTAGTAAACATAACATCAGTACCATTCATCCTTCAAAAAATATGAACAAAGAGGCCAAAAATAATTTTTCTTTGTACATTTAAACATAATGTTATGTTGTAGTGGAATATGAAGGTCTTTCATTTCCCAAAAGTTGTTTACATTTCATTAAGTAGATCCTAAATTTTCAGCAGTATTCTTTCAATGCATACGAATCTGCGACATAAGCATCCTTCGTTTTGTTGTGCTAAGTCTAGTTGAGATCATCTTTCTTTGTAGTGAGTTAGTTCTTTGGAAGAGCAAAAAATGCTTGAGTTGGGACAATTTGCCATTTGCATCTAACAACATTTCACTGTATTATGACCTATAACTTGTTATAAAAACTCAATGTCAATTGTATTTTTAAAAAATAGGGACTGTATGTTAAATAAAAGAGACATATTGTCGTTGATCAATATATGGATGTGGACATATCACATATATTATAACGAGTCCAAAAGTAAAACATTTCTTTTATTGTACTTGGGGGCAATGGATTACTAGAAAAAATATGCAAGGCCACCATAGAAAATTTTAAAAAATAAGGGGGTAGTGTAATAATTTTAACAGAGTAATAATCTTTCAAATACTTCATATACAATTGTTACCCAAAATCCAGTGGGGGCAAGTGCCCCCACACCCTTGAACGTATCTTCGCCCCTGATTATTAGCGCTGGTTTTTTCATTTTTGGTTCGTGCTATGTAGTTGATCTCTCATTTTAGATATGGTATAGTGGGGTTGTTGATTTTGTTCTGTATTTTAGAAATTTTTCTTCTTCTTCTTGTGATAATTGGTTTCCTTGGATTTTGCTCGACTTAGCCAAACAATTTTGTCAATTTTAGGTGCATCCATTGAAATATAATAGCATTTCCTCATGCTTTACTACCCTATTGAGAGAACAAGGTCCTTCTGCCTTTTGGAGAGGTTGGGCTGGGAAGTTTTTTGGATATGGTGTTCAGGGTGCTTGTAGATTTGGGCTTTATGAATACTTCAAGAAACTTTACTCAAACGTACTGATTGACCAGAACAAGAGTGTCATATTTTTTGTTAGCAGCGCATCTGCTGAAGTAATTGCCAATGTGGCTCTATGCCCTTTCGAGGCCATTAAAGTACGTGTTCAAGCACAGCCCCATTTTGCAAAGGGCTTGGCAGATGGATTTCCAAAGCTATGCACATCAGAAGGCCTCCGTGGGTATATAACTATAAATCGTAACTTCTTTAATTCTTCTATTATGGCATCATATTTCTCTGCGTACTGAAGAAATTATTTCAATTTTGTTTCTGTTTGCAGCTTATACAGGGGGCTCATTCCACTATGGGGCCGTAATCTACCATGTAATTCCCCACTTACCTAGCACTCAAATGTTTCACTTTATGTCTTTATGTATATCAATAGGTTATGATTTCACTCAGATAATAAGATAGTCCTCTAGTACCTAGGTTTTGGGTGCAGTGGAGGTGGCTTAAGCACTTCAACAAAAAAATAAAAACAAGTCAATGAGATTATGACCCAGAACCCTAAACCCCTAACTTTAATTCTTAAATCCCAAACTCTAAACTAAAGCAATGGCCTTAAGAAAAGGGAAATGAAGTTGGAATGGGGAAAAGAGCAATTTTTTTCTTGTGAAACAAAATACTTCATAGTTGAGGATCCATTTCATTCACAATGTTGATTCTTTTTTTTTTTTTTTTACTTAGAATCACTATAACCACTTGCCTGTTGGGCTCGTAGTTGTAAAGTAATACTTGGATATATGCAACCACCACCTAACCACATGCATCGGTTAAACAACAGTTTTTTATGTGGCTTATGGGAATTGAATTTACGATGTGTGTTACAATCTCAAATCAGTTCACTAAGAGATTATATGTGTGTATATAACTCTTGAACACCCTTTCCTTACAAGCCGGGTTTCAAGAGCAAGTTATACCCATGGGTTTGTATCAATGGATATCAGAGCTAGTCACCACGTCAAATATGAGATCAAGGATACAGTATGGGTGTGGCTTTCTGTGATTGAGCTACGGAAAAGGCGACTCATGGGCTAGCTTAAGATACTTTAGTATTATGCATGGTCGTAGTGCTAAGTTATTGAATACTGATAAGTGAAGCTGCCAAATGAAAAGGCTACCGTTTGATTCAGTTTTGATAGAAATGGTTGCCGTGAACGTCGGCTATAGAAGCGTGGTGATATGCTACACTCTCTCATCGGTTCTCTAAGACATTAAATGTGTGTATATAAATATAAAACTATGGGTCACCTTTCCCTTGCAAGCCGGTTTTTAAGGGAAATTTCTACTCATGGATTCATATCAATGTACAGATTTAAACCTTGCCCTTTGTCCGACTAGTAGTCCAACCTGTGCGACTTGGTTCAACATGTTAGACGCTGCAGTCATTTGAATATCCAGATATCGGGTGTATATTCTTTTCTGAAGCAAGGTTTTAATCATGGGTATTTAGAAGGTGTGGGTTCCATTGGTGTCGGGTGGTAATCCTTTCATTAAGGTTACAAACAAGACAGTGAAACTGTGTTCCAAATTAGATCATATTGAGAGAAAGGGAAAAGTAAAATCACCACCACAGCTATGTAATTGTAGTTATATGTCTATCATAAGGGGCTACTCCTATTTGTTGTACAATTATTGATGCTTTTGGTGAAAGACATCTATAGCTGCACATTACATTGATAGGTCGTGTACTTTTCTTTTGTTCTAAACTAATGGCATCATTGTCCGTAGTACATCAAAACTGTGTCCTGTATCAAACTGATGCTCCCTAAGGCCTAGGAACTTTCAAATGCTTTGAGTATTACCATTGCATTCTAAGATGCATTCAGAATTAAGCAAAGAATTCTCTTTCCATAAATATAGAAGTAAATGTTCACTGCCATTAGTGGCTGAATTATACCTAGGTAGCCTTGGGTTAATGCCCTAGAACAGCATCAGAGTTCCATTCTGGGTTCGACATTGCAATCCAATTGCACATGTCATGTGATGGAATTATTACAGTATCGCTGTTACCTGATTCATCTTTCGTTTTCTGGCATTTCTTTTGGCTGCCAAGTACAGACACATCAGAAACACAAAGTCATACGGTTCTACTTTTGCTTTCTCCATTTTTATATCCTCCTGTGAATTTAACGGGGATTTTACATGTAAATCTTGCAGGCCAACTAGTGGGAAGGTTCGCGTGGATATAGAAGTAAATGGAACAGGCAAAACTCGGTGAAAGTGAGTGCTTCAATTGAAGTGGCTTAGATACTAAGAAGGGCCCCACGTCCAACAAATCAGGGTGAAGGGGCTACAATTTTTGGCTTGGCTTGGCTTGGCTTTGCAGGATATTTGCAACAATGGCTGTGCTTATTTCTGTGAGCAGCCAGCATTTTTGTTCATTGGTATCATCAGCTAAATCCGGATTCCACATAAGTTAATGCAAAAATAAATCTCTGCACTGGTGATCGAGTTTTTGAAACTGCAGATTTTTAACCTGCAATTTGTATATTATTAGATATCGTCAGCATTGCCTGCCTCATATTGTCATTTTTTGATCAGTTGTTTCATGTTAGATTAACTGCAAAACGCTGAGAAACAATTAACCTTTTATGAGGCTCGTGTGGTAATCTAGCTATTTGGAATTAATATTACTTTCATAATTTTAAACAATGATATCACGATTATGAATAGCTTGCAAATGGTTCAAGCAATGGTGTTTACCCAGACGCATATATATCCATCCGCTGCACGCATATCGAGTCTGCTCTGTTCTGAGCTTCCAAGATGTTAGGTCTTCCACATCCATGTCTAGGAAAAGAGAGCAATGATCAACTCAGAAAAGAGGCCGAATGTAGGGTACTCTTGAGTGCTACTTTTTTAAAGTTTGATCGATGGTTCAATTATTCTGGGCACTACCTAAAATTAAAACGGAATTGGTTTCCCGGCAATAAGTAGAGATACAATCCATATGTTCAGGCTTGTGGTAGCATTGGACTGCAGCAAGAGAGAGAGAGAGACTGCCATAGGGAATCGAAAATATTTCCGGCCGCTTACTTCATGTTGCCTCCAGGTATATAAGCCTTCTGGGAAAGCACACTAGTAACTCCAAATCCTCGAATTGCACAAAGATTTTGCCGAAGCCCAAACACTCCAATGGACACCATTTGTTCTGGAAAGCGAAATTTGACTGGGCGATGCAAACAGAAACAATACATACCTTATATCCGTATCTTAGCCAGGAATTGGTTATCGCAAAGGAAAAAATATGATTCCGGAATATAATCCACAGATGCTTCGTACCATTTTTATGCACGAACCCAGGCTAGACCCAGGAAAGAAACCAACACGACCAATGTGGACTATCCTCGTGCACGAAGCCTCACCACTATCATGACTTCCCAACCTCCCACTAGGAAGATGTTGCACGGAGTGGTCATTTCATAGACATAATAACATCTATTTAATAACGTAAAAGATGATATCATTTCACAGGTAAATAACTCGATAGCACCAGCCCGCATGGTGAAAGCATAAAACTAACAATTGGAACATAAATATGTTGATTTTCTATGACAATAATATTTTATCGTCAACAGAAACCAAAAAACTGGTGTCATTGCTACATGGAAGTAATGCCCTAGTTTGCAACACTCAAACATAACTGTCAATCAAAGATTTCCTCATCTCATCAACAATGGCACTAGGTTGGGCTTCCCTCAACTTGAAGACAGACTCAATAACAGACAGTTCTGTAGCCGTGGTGTCTGATCCACAGAATGCAGTCCAGTCGTTGACTGTCAAGCCAGCAGCTATCACTTCACTACCACGATTTACAGTCCCAGCCACCAAAGGGACCTGAAGGAGGGTTGACAGTTCATCTAAGTCTTCAATTGATGTATGGGGATGGACCTGCTCACATGCCAGTTCAGATAAAAACCAAGACAAATCATAAATGACAAAACTCATCAAATGCCTGCCATTTGCCCTTTCAAAGATATAATTTCTTACCAAGCCGCCTCTATTAGAGAATGAACAATAGCTGCCCACAAGAATATTACCAGCTATTGTCTGCCTAAAAACTTCGACCCCAAGAACATCTGCAATCATCTCCTCAGTTTCCTGATAAAAATAAAAAAGAAAAATGCATTAGCACCCCTCAAAACTGAAAGCAGGAGCTCTGCAGCTGTGCAACATGCAATTGATGCAACATCATTCCCCATTGTGGAACTAACCGCGAACCAATTTCATGTGGTTTGAGTTTGTTTCCCTGAATTGTGAAACAACAGCAATAGATACCAGGATGTGAGATGCCACAAATAGTGGAGAGCATCCAGATAAGGACGGAATTGTACACAAAGCTAACAGTTAAAACACTTTCCTGGAATAAATAAAAAGATGTGGGATCTTCCAGCTCCTTTTTGGTGCTATGGAATTTTGCAGAGATGTTGAACAACCACTATAATTGACAGTTTGCTGGTGATTTGGACTGTAGAATCAATTTCAACTGTAAAACTATAGGGGAACTGTGGTCAAATTTATAAATGGAAGGGGTATCAGGTTGATGTGATCTGGAACATTCCAAAACAAAAGCGCCCAAAAACGTTAGTCATGGACTTTTATCCACATAGACTTAAACATTCAGCAATCACAATCCAAGGTCATAGGATAACAAAAATCAATGCTGTATATTAGATATAGCCATATAGGGTTCACAAGGGGAAGATTAGGAAAGATCTGATATTAAATGTAACTGAACATTACTATTTTGTGTCAGAATATCGATAATCCATAATGAGGAAGATCCTTGAGAAAATTTAAATAAATGTCTTTTGGGGAAAAAAGTAGGATATTTTGACAAACTCCATTCAACAAACAAAAAAGCTCTTCACTCAATTTGGTCCCCGTTATCTGAGGGTGCAATGAGAGGTGAGATGGGTAGAAATCTAAATGCTAATAAAATTTTCACGAAATAAATTATAAAATAGGTTTATGAACCAATAATGTTTAAGGTATCTTGGATGGGCACTGAAGGCACAGGATCAGCATAAATGAAAATTTCTGAATTAAGGATCCTGACATAACTAAACTAGTAACTAGACATAAGCGGAAAGAAAACAATTTGAAGGCATGCATAAGAAATCAGAGATACTCCCAACCAAGGACAAGAAAAGAAGTTGGGATACGGCATTCAACTTGAAGCAGCTAAAATGAAATACGGGAGGTCATTTTTATTGGAAAATTTGATTGGTTAAGATTAAATGTTGCCAAGGCTGCAAAAGGAAGACGTAGTAGCTGTGATTTTTGATAGAAGATGCAACCGAAGACGGAATTGTACAGAACCACAAATAGTTAGGATACAGAATCATTGAGTTCAGTTGCACAGTTGGAAAAACTTGACCATTGCAAATAAAAGAAACAAATCAAGCATAGGACATTAGGCCATGCCCAGCAGCAGTCCACAAGAGCAGGTGAGCAAAAGTCATGCTTGGTAATAGGAAGAGATGTACCATAAAATAATCTAATCATAATTCTCCACTCACACAACCCCTAAAAAAACTCAATTGCTGGCATGAAATTATTGACTTTTAACTTTTAACTTATAATTCTATAATGCTAAATTATCTCAGACAATGTCAAGTATGCCCTTCTATCGGCCACAAGACATGAAAGTCCACCTTCACTAGAAGACAAAAGGGAAGAGGCAACCAAAACGGACCACTTAGTAAAGAGAATAAAAATATGTCCACATCCTGAAGACATGTTCCATTCCATGAACTTAGCGTTCCTTGCCGACGAGAGAGAGGTGCCAGGAGGGTGGGGGATGCAACTAAGAACATCTTATCCACGTTGATTAGCATTTGGATTCATATTTCTAGAAAGAAAATAATCTGCTAAACATTTGTCCCAGATAGATGGCTTTACCCTGTCAAGATCAGTGTGTGTAAGAGCAACATGGTCATTGCATGCTATGCAGTTCCCAAGAGCAGATAGTCTCTCTTCAATGCGCTGAACGACAACTTGATCTGGCAGACTGTTCCTTAACTGTTGAAGTTCTACAACAAGTCCAGCAAGATACCAATAAATGTGAGTCCACAGATTTTTCATAGGTAAACATTTGCAGAGAAATCAAATAAAATCTGCAGGACAACTGATGCAAATTAAAGTATGAATTTGCCAGACATAAAATGGGAGTCTAACAGCTCGACAAAGATATCCTTCAAAGAACACATCAATCAGATAGGTAACTGAAAGAATTCCAAACATTGTGAAACTGATGAATCAATTCAAATTAAGTGCATCATCACTCCACAAACCAAGATGTGTAGAAAGGCATCAGCTTGTTTAAAACTGTTGCGAAAAATGCTCATTAGGATTGTAATAAATCTGCCCAGACCATTCCTTCCGCTGCACTCTTTAAGCTAAGCACGGACACGAGACAATGATACTACACGACAAAACACTGACACGTAGACACGACATTTCTAAAAAAAGTAGGTAGGACACGGACATGTTAGGGACACGCAAACATGTCCACACTATAGATAATTATGATTTAAAATTATATAAGTCATTGCAAATATAGTGATAATGATATTTATTCATATGATATTCAGTACTTCATCATAAGCAAATGTTATGCCTAGTCGTTTAGTATGAATTTTTAGAAGAACAATCACAAAAGTCAACAATTATCAATTTTTTTAGCCGTGTACCCAACATATATAATTTAAATGATTGCTATCTTTTCCTCAATTTTGTTTTTTAAAACTTTTATATATCTTTTACTTTTATTATTATATTTTGAGTACAACTTAAACATGTCTAGTCTTGATAATTATATGATTTTTCATAATATAAATACTTAAGAGTCAAATTTTTAAGCCTTGTCAATCACTTGTCTACCCATGTTTATTGTTATAGCAATAGACATGGTCTAAAGAATGTCAGACATGTATAATTAAAATTTTATTTTTTAATTATGGACACCGACAAAGAGTATTGCACACATGTCTGAGCGTCCAAAGAGTGTCGACATCCAACACCTATCCGACACGGATAAGTTACCTTTTTGATAGGTGTTCATGCTTCATAGTCTTTAAGTAGCCTGATATCACCACACCAATACGCTATCAAACTTTAGATCCAGGGAACCCTGTATCATGGAATTCATTTTAACTTGTGAAATACCATAACATCTCCAAAACAGGAGAGTCATATATCCTTATAGATGCAAACACAATTTATCTGTCTGCTAACAATGCCATCATTGGAGCTCAAAAGACATCAGGACAGCATATCATTGTTCAGATTAATCATTGTACGTAAAGCAATAATAGTGCAAATAAAGGAGCTCAAAAGATACGGGGCAGCCTATGATGGTTTAAATTTATTACTGCACTCCATGAAATTTAATTCTAGGCCAAAATGAGCTCAAATGAACAAGGACGAGTTTAAGGCCCTCAAATATAACTCATGCCTAACTGAAGAATGTAACATCATATAAGAACAAAGATAGCTTATATATGTAAGTCCACACAATTGTATTGAATCACTAACAGAAATTCTAAGATTCTTTCAAGGACATTGAATCAGGCTTCCTTTAACTCGCCAGCGCCTGTAACAACTCACATAAGATTGAACCCATAGAACTACAGGGTCAGAGCTCAATGCAGGGATAGAATACAAAATAAAACCAAAGAAAACAAAATTTGGCATTGCACCTGAACTTTTTCCTTTTTTTCTTTTTTATGGGATCTAGCCCTTAAGGCAATTAGCACAAATGATCATTTTCACACGACGGATACACATATGAGGTTTGCCAAGTTCCTTTTTGTTGTCTCTTCCGATTGATTTAAACATCTACCACTTTGTGAAAACACCATATATCAAAGTTGTTCACTTTAGAAAAGAAAAAAAGTATGTATTTGTAAAATAAATATCATAGATGTACAGAGAGTGCCATAAACTGACCAATTGCATTGCTTTATTTCACGGCAAAACCATTGTATATATTATTTACATAAATGTATATCAGTGCCTGTACATACATGTATGCGTTTGTTATGCAGCTCTAACAGAAAATTTTGTTAAACACGTAAGGAGGCAAGTAAAAAGAAGAAACTTGCTGAAACAATGCAAAGAATGACAAGAACAATAATGGATTTTGTAAAAGTAAGTGCAAACAACAATTAAAAGAACTAATTTATCACAGCCTTACCTTGGTCAGTAGTAGTGTGAGGCAAGAGAAGCCCATTTTTGTTTCCTGCGATACAAAGAGAAAAAAAAATGAATTGAAATGTTCAGTATACAATTCAGGACATCCCAAAAAGGGGAGTCTTGTGCAAGAATACAAAGAAAAGTTAAAATCCTCACCAGCACAAAGTCGTCCAATTATCCCAGTCCCACCAATGGACGTTTTAACCACCGGAATAACATCTGCTAACTCACCCTCAAACGTACTGCATATGACACAATTAATTAAAGCATTAAGCTCTTTCTAATCCAACTAAGAAAAAAAAATCGTATTCTGGGCATCCACAAAATAGAAACCAACCTGTAGAAATTTTCAGAACCACCAATTGCAACCAAACAGTAGGCATTAGTGAGCTTGGAAAACACTCCAACTTCACATGAGTTCTCAAATTGCAGCCCTACACAAAATTCATGCCCATTACACCAATCAAATAACAGAACAAAGGGGTTTTTTTTTTTTTTTTT